CAATATTGTTGTGTATATATAGTAAAGAGAAAAAAAAGCAATGTTGACTTCTTTATCCAATTTAGTAAAGTTTATTGCAGGAATTCTATTTAATACCATCTTAGATTTTTCTCCTGTTCAATATTTGTTCTTCAAGCAACAGGAAGAAAAGCAAACAAGCAAAGGATGAAACATTTCTGTCTTGGGCTGTACTTTACCCAATGAAGAGATTGGTTATTATTAAACTCCAGCTTTTGTATATAAAGCAATTACCACTCTCTCAAGCAGATATTATTCATTCTTTGCAGAAAGCAGAACATTGGTCACACGTTTTTTCAGTGTAATTTTAGCCAATGCAGTGGACAAAAGAGGATGATTATAATGAAAGATTTAACATCTTGTGCAAGATCAATATCACAAGAGCTGATCTGAAAATGGGTAAATGGGTGATGAAGAAACTTGAAACAGCAGAAATATCTTTTCCTTTTTTTTTATTTTTTGAAGAGTGTTGCTTAAAGTGTTGCTCAAAGAGCTATTTATCAGAATAAAGTCAGTATGATCAGTGCAGGTGCTCTTTATTGTACCTATGTTCTCCTTCACAATGAGAGGGGAAATTCATGCTTAAAACTTCAAAGAAAGAATCAGACTGAGAAGCTGCTAGCAACTATTGATTCATTCCTTCCTTTGGGATCTTCAGTGGTAAAAATGAGCCCAAATTTGCAGTCTACAACATATCAAACCCACAGCTATAGTGGAAAAGAATAGTACAGAAGCTTTTCGTGCAATTTCCTTGCATGACAGGAAACTAATAACTGTGTATCAAGAGCACACTAGAGGCAGACAAAGCCCACAGATATCAGCATCTCAGCAGTGCAAATGTGTCCATTTAACAGCTGCAGCAGTGGTAAAAATCACACCAAGAGCCTTCTATTAATGAGTCCCATTGATAACTCACATTTTACTGCACCAAGTATATTTGTGCTCACCTTGAGGATCATTTATTGTGCTAGATCACGATACAGGGAGCCCTGGGATAAATAAAAATCAAACCCCAAATAATTCACTTATCTGCTTTAAGACTGCTTAAACACAGCATACACAAAAGCATAAGCTTTCAGATATATTTCCTCTCTTTATTTGCATGAAATTTTCTACATCTTAACAACCCACATGTACTGCCTGAAGAATTCTATTTCAAGCAAGACTGGAAATAAAAATAAATTTAAAAATACATAAATTTAAATAAAAATAAATACAGCAGGGTACATTGACTTCTCTGTTTCAAATCTGCATTTCAACTCCTCAATTTTTTGTTTAGGGATGCCAAAACATGTTGCATTTAATGGCTATCTTCATTTTGAGGGTACAAACCAAGTGTAGTGCTCATACTGCGTGAACAGCTCTCTGAGGGGGGAGGGAGCAGGGAAGGACAGCCTCAGCATCTGCCTAAGGTTTACAGAAGTGACCATGCAGAAATGGGAGGAACTTCTGATTTCGCTGAGGATTTCCCATTAACAAGGGATGGATCGTTGCTGGGAAATATTTATAAAGGGAATACAAGCCACCTGCATACGTATACAGAGGGTGGTAGATGTCCACCAAAAGGGGTGGGTTATTTCTCCCAGCTGGAGCTGGAGAGAAAGAGGGTTATAATTCAAGAAAATAAGCAAGCTGCTCCCCACCAGGTCATTCACAGTTTCCCCTTACAATCTTGTTACTAACGCCTGTAAGAGCATGTAACTGCTTTTCTTCCAATTAACTTTATAACTGCTAATGCATCCCAGTTGTTGCTGGCTGGTTAAATTCCAAGAGATGGAAAAAAACTTAGTGGGGACATCAATAAAGTTTTTACCGTATGATTATGGCATATAAGATGGAAGTGCAGAAAAAACGTGTCTGATCTGGGATCTTTTGCCTCTTGAGGCACAGATGATGTGACAAATACCGGTTCTGGATACCACCTAACATGATAATGAGCACATATTATGCCAGTGCATACTATATGAACTTTTAATTTAGTAATGAAAATATGATTAACAGAAAACCACAAATAAATTAACACTTAAGAAATGAAACATCACTGTCTATTAGCAATGTTTTATGCAAGCAGCCAACTAGCAGTATTCAGTGTTATATTTAGAGAATGAGATTCTGTAAATGCCTTACATGTTTGAAAATTAATCATTCTTTAACCTTTGAAATACCTAATCTTGTTAAATATGTACCTTCTTCCAAAACTGCATTGCTGTGGAACAGCTGAATTACATTTTTTATGCTCCATTTTCAAAGTCTCTGCAGGACATATTTTTATAGCTTAGTTATAAGAACTGAGAATAAAGGTTCATAGTAGGAGTACTAACAAATCATCGCCATGGGAAGGAGATCATTGCTGCCGTGTACCCTTCTTTCCATGCATAGTTCTCCAGTTTACAAATACAGAATATCAATACCACAGAGTGTGGTTACTTCAATGTCCTACACAGAGCAGGAAAGGACAAGGATATGCGCAATTTTCTAGAGTACAGGCAATCCAGGGGCATATTACTTTTAAGGTTAACTGCACATATTCCACAAGAATCGAACTTAGGCTAGGTCTGAAGGGCAGCCAGATGAAAGAATGGCCTGGCAGCACTGGCTCTGTTGTTCCCAAGGGCTCGTTTCTTTCTCTGAGGTGCAGCTCCAGTGCAAACATCATGAAAGAGGCTGGTCATGAAGGCACTCTTGAATGAGGAGCCCAAGACCACCAAGCTGGCTACACTTGAACTGTTGAATGGATATAAATAACTGGAGAAACTATTACTGCACCTCTCCCTTTCACCCATCTGTACTCTCTACAGCATCTGTGTTCTTCCCTAACAGTTTTGTCGGTCTCATTATATGCTTCTTCCCCTCTTTCTTCTCCCATCCTTCCCGTAGTCCATCTCTCTTTATCCTTCTCTCATTATTAGGAACAACACCCAAGTCTGCCTATTGCTCAGTTCCTCCCAATGTCAACAGCTGAATGCAAACAGACCTATAGCTTGCAATCAGGCAGTTTTTCTGGGCTCATTTACTGATAATGGAGCTGGACAAGATTATGTCTGATGTAAACACTTGAATGCAAATAGCACATTTTACATTTACCCATATTTAATGAATTTCTGCTTAGTTTGGACTAGTTGATTCAGATGTAATCAAACAAGACAAAGGATCATTTATCTCTAACAGATTCAGTGAATCAAACACAAATTTAGTCATTCTTTTCCTCCAAAAAGGAGTTAAAAAATCCCCCATGAACTGTCTAAACTTTCCTTCTTCTCTCTGCCAAATATTTAAACACTGTAAATGGGGGAAGCAGGGATAACAGAACACAGACTTCATTTACTTTGCACCTGCTGGTAACTCCCCACTATATAGTATGTAAGCATAAAAATACTTACTGCAGCAGTCACACAGAAGCCATAGAACTTACAACTGTTTTCACACGTGAGTGTGCTTGAGTTGTTCAGCAGTTGTTACATATGCAAACCTGATAGGTTTCCTCTTCAAAAAGCTTAGTTCAAAGTTTTCAAAACCAAATTTTACATTAGGAAGCACCTTTCTTTTTTTTAATGCCCAAATGAAGGCAGTTTTGAAGGTGACTGAGATTTTAGATGTCTTTCTTGATATTGGTCATAAAGGCATATTATACCCTCTCTATATAAATGGTCAGCGTTACTGCCCATATCCAGACAATCACTTCATGCAACACTGGCTTTGATATCTTCTTTATGGGTAAGTTGAGAAGAGTTTGGTTGTCAATGGAATCTGGATCAAGCTCTTATATTACAAATAAAAGAATCAAAATAATTGGCACAGGATACTAGCAAAGGAGCACATAGACTGGGCTGAGGTCATTATACCAAGTTCAGTGTTCAGAAAATCTTGACATTATTGTGAAGGCCAAAGTCTGTCTGCAGACTAATTATGAACTTTCAAATTCTTGCTAGAAGGGGTATATTATTAACTGTCTTACTATAGTACTTCTATTGTGTTCACAGATAAAAATGGAAATCAGATTTCAAATTTCATTTGAGCATTTGCAGGTAACCACAAGTCCCTCTACAGTTCAACATAGTTCTCAGATTCTCTCTGTAATTACTCTTAGTGCAAACTGTGCCTGAAATACAAGTAATAGCAACCCAAGGGCAAACCAGTTTATTTGAATGGTAGCTACTGGGGGAAGGGCAGATGCAGCCATAAGGGATTCAAGCAATCATATATATTCTATTAAGAAGATATCAAACAAAAACCTATATTTTTCCTCCTACTTCTTTGAAATTAGTCTGTCAAATCATACTCACAGTTGCATATACAGTCACTGTCACTCAATTTATATTATTATTGAAATGATTTTAAAACTTATTTTAAAGAAATTGTTTTTTTCCTGTCACAAAAAAATGTAAAATTAAATCATAACCTTCTTCTCACCCAATATCATTCTCATCAATTGATTTGTTCTAGTCACAAACACATTACTCTAAGTTTCCTCTTGCAAACAACTCTAAGTTTCCTCCGGCATCGTTCAAGATTCTCATTCTGTCTACCCCTTTAGTTTATTCCTCCAGTCTACTCCTCTACTCTGAAAAATAAGCATAGAGCAAGCATTTATCTTCAGTAAGAGCTATGTGTGACTTAATGCTTGGCACCTTTGTGAATCAAGAGGACCAGACTGCAGACTTCAGTATTAAACCCCCTTTCTTGACAAAGCTGTAACTTTATAATTAACAACACAGAAATGCTTCAGAAGTTCGTACAAATACCTTTTTAAGCAAGACCTGACTGCAACCTCTACAACTGCAACAGCTCCAGAAAATTAACAGAATACACAAAGTCTTCACATGAAAGCAGGTAATTTAAACAAAACATCCAAGTAATCACTCCCTAGAAGATAAAACTTCAGTGGCCATAAATAGCAAACAAGACTTTTCTATATAATCCAATTTGAGTTTGTATTTCTCCAAATCATATTACAATGTTAACTCATTAAGAAAAAAGTTTACCTGTGTTCCTGTCAGGTAAAATACAGCAATGCTTCTGCAGTATGCCAGGCAGAACCTGTGGCAACAAAGAAACAGGCGTTATTGTACATATATATTCTAACATCATATGAAGAAGAGCCAGTGATTGCTGGAACACTGCATTTGCTGCATATGATCAAGCTTTGTGCTCTCAAACTGCATCCAAATTAGCTATCATGTGATGTAAATATGAACCCCACTCATTAGGAACCGCAAACAGAAAAGAAAATTAGCTGCTCACTACCTGCCTGTAAAGTTAGTTTCACTTTCTTGCATTGACTACAATATCAAAAGTTGCTTAAAGAACCCAAGACCATAATTAAAAATGCCCTACTTAGAAAGAGACCATGTTACCAGTCAGTGATGCTGTTGTTCCTGATTTTGCACACATGGCCCTGCAGTTACAGCATCTTGTCATAAAACACTCAGGTCCAAATTCCAAAGCACAGCATTTCCCTCTCCACACAGCCAGTTCCAGTAGACTACTCAAAACTCCAGAGAATGGGGACAGAGAAGATCCCAAGTTTGTGATTCACCACATCCACCATGCTCTGATGCTTCTGTCAGCCAGCAAGAAATGCTGCTGGAGCTTACCAGCACCTATAGCCCTTTTTTACAGGCAGACCCTCCCTCTGCTTCCCAAATTTACATATGAAAGTCACCTATCTTGGTACAGACAGCCAACTCTGGTGGTCCTACCAGCAACAACCTGTGCATGAAGCACCCAATACCTCATTGTAATCCAACTTTTAAATCTACAATTTATGCCCTGTACAGTGATATCAATAGCAGTAGAACTGTAGCTTAAAGTTTAATGAAAAATCCCACTCTGAGATGGCTTCTTTAAATTTTTCCCTTGGAGGTCAATGTGCACACTTTAAAGTCCGAAACTTAAAAAAACACCACTTAGTCTGTACAGACAGGAGGCCAGCACAGCCACTGTCAGGAAATCCTGGGCTCCTAATGTCTAAGAAGACCCCAAGAACCATCACACTGGTTCTGAAAATTCAGGAAGGAAAATATTTTACGCAATAGAGGCATTTTTATTTTTCACAAAGACCTCTGTTGCTGTTTGGCCAAGGTTAATAGCCAGGGATGAGGCCACTAAGAGACAGACACATACAGCCCCTACAGCAGCACCATATGTCCCCATTCCTCCCTGCAGGACTTTTCCAATACACACTTTCATTACTACCAGGAGAACAAACACCTCCGTTCGTGTGTCCTCCAGCACAACAAAATAAAGTCTTAAGAGCCTTGCTGCACCCTGCTTCCTCCTGAATGCAGAGGCAGAGCCACTGCAAAACTCGGCTTTTGTTACAACTTCGTGAGTCAGTCTGTCGTCAGGAAGCCTCCCTGAACAAAAAGCAATGGGTACAACTGACTGGGATGAGAACAGTGTCCCTATCCAAGTCCTCTAAATTCTACAGAGGGCCTAGCATTTAAATGTAAGCTCTTACAAAAGCAATTCACTTATTTGGGCATAATTCTGAAATTAAACTTATGGATAAAACATAAACCATAAAAAAATATCAGCTTGCCTTACTCTGATTCACAGGCAGCAGGCAGCTTGTATTTGGGGAAGGACCAATAGCACAAATAACAATTCTCTGAAAACCACACTCATCATTCTCCAGTGTTTCTAAATTTTAAAATAAAAATAAAAAAACCCCACAATAATTCTTGGAACTACAGTGTCATATGTACAAACTACAGCATTTTTCCTATAGCCATGGATATAAATAACAGGTCTTACAGGCATCAAAAGCATAAAAATTAGAAGCAGAGAACAAAGAAATACTAAAATGAGTAGAGACAGTCTTTCAAAGCAGTTTAATACAGACTGAATTTTAAAAAACACAGTCTTACTCAAACATAAAGTAACATTTAGTTTCTCAGGAATCTGTCACATTTTCTTCCCCACATTCACGAACCATGGAGAAGAATTATGAATTTATTATGAGCTCCCAGGTAATCAAACTGAGACTGAAATTATAAGAAAAGACAAAAAAGAGCAGATCTGGAGTAGAAAAACAACTTCAATGGGGGGAAAAAAAAGCAAAACTCTGGAAAATAATTTACCCTTCCTGGTAAACTGGATATTGATAAGAGAACAGTCACACTGAAAAGCACAAGCTGGAAAAACATTTTTGTCCCTTCACTCTCCTAAGTGTTAAGTAGGCAAACAGTATGGCAAAGGCTTAAACAATGCTTCCTGCTCCCCAGCCCTTTAACATGTTTACCCTGCACAAAGCCAGTTTCTGGCTGGTAGGAGTTTGATATCAACCTCCCACTTACTTATCTACAGTATACAGATTTTTACACTGTACCCATCTCCATGGTATCCAAGAGCCTTTTCACACTGCTCTCCTCCCACTTTCTCCCCACTTTGTTTCTCTCCTCTCAAGGGAACCTGAGAGGAGAATTCCTCAGCAAAACTGTCACCTTTCCCTCTACGTGCCTCTCCTTCCCCCTGCTGTTTTGCTTTCACTCATTTGCATATTTTAATACCTGGTTTATTGCTTAAAATGTCTAAAATGCCTTATGGCTCAGAGATTTTTCTTTAATTTCACAGAAAACGCCTAGGTTAATTTTTGTTTCTTTTGGTTGTTCAAAACTTTACCTACACAGGCATTTTGAGTGAGAATCTTCACCCAAAGCAGACTTGGAGTGATTTCTGCTGTAGAAATCAAAACATGGGAGCAATCAGAGAGATTTACATGCAGAGTGGGTGGGGAAAAAAGGCAAAAAAGAAACAGGTTTCAATTATGTTAACTGATGATTTAACCTTCAGTTGTTTTATAAGCTATCAGCTGGGAGATAAGGCATTGCGATACTAAATTAAAACTGGACTTCTAGATGCAGAAACAGAATAACAATACAGCTGGTGGTATGTCCTTAACATCAAGGTGCTTCCCTAGCAATAGGCAAATTAACTCCAGTCCACAGAACATAGCTAGGCAGACACATGTGGCAGGAACACAGTCTTTGCTTATGGTGCCAAGTTGAAAGCATCCTCAAATTCAGTGAAAAACACTGCTTTTTATTGTTGGATATTGATTTGGACCTATTTAAATTTGTTTTCACTACAAGTTACTGTGCTTAGATGTATAAAAATATATAGTTATCATAATTAGTGTTCAAATTTTAACTTGCAGCTGTACAATACACATACTCAGAAAGCTCCTCAGAGCACCACAGGGTAGTTACATAGCTATTGCAGTTCAGTAAAGATTATATTTTTACGTTTACTTGGAAACTTTCCTTCAATTTCTAAAAAAATAAGACAGATGAGTCCTCTCAGTGTTTAGCAGGCAATATTTTTTTTTAGAGTGGTTTAGCAAGAACTAGAATTAATTCCTAAAAAACATTTTAAATTCGGAAAGCACTAACCCAAAACCCACTTAAAAACAAAACAAAACAAAACCGCCACTTCACACGGAAGTGGAAAAATTAGAAGGAAAATAATTCTACTATGGAAAAATTCCTCTGTGACATGGATATCTACTCACTTAAAAGGATCTGCTACACAATGATCAGTCCTCTCTATGGTACTGAAAGATAAAAACGTTTAGCTTTCTATTCCACTTATAATTGCACAGCTAAGATGGCCATAGAAAAATGAGCTGGATACTATTTTCACTTCTCCATTTACATTTTTTTCTGCTGAAACATAAATCAACTGAAAAGGAATGCTTCACAGGTCCAAATTTATAGAACATCCCACTCAGGAGTCCAAGTGCTTGATAGATGAAATTTAAGGTAGAAATTAACAAGGATTTATACTGTGAATTGTAACTTGCCAGAAGGAAGGAAGCTCAACTTGAATTTCAGGTCCCAAGCTGAGAAAATAAATTTTTCTGCTTTTTTACATCCTAGAAATCCAGTGATCCCAAGGACTAGGAAGTGAGAATATACCCTTTTGGCCATGCCAGACACACAGATCCCCTTCATGGCCCTTGTGGTCATGTTCAAACATTTCCAAGGACTGCCTCTGAGAGAGGCCCTGTGCTCCAAACCTCTCTCTCCCAGAAACCTATTAAATATAGCATGTGAGGCATTTTTATATCAAGAATATGGTAACATTCAGAATAAAATGGGTCAAAAACATACAGGGAAAATCCACATCAATTTATAAAATTCCAGAGAAAACATATTACAGAATTTGAGCTTTACTCATACACCGACATCTGGAAAGAAATGGTCCTTGGGCAGAATCAGCCACCCAGGGTGCCTCACATCTTCTGTGAAAGCAGTACAGTACTGGAGAGAATTCAGGCTAGATATGTGGGTGTGATCCAGTGAGTGAATTCCTATTTATTTGCCTTTCAAATGATTTGTCACTTCTTTGGAAAAGAGAGGCACCTCCTAGACCTTGCTACCTGCACTGCTCTGTGCTAAGCATTGCTGTTTTCCCACCATCTGCACAAACCTCATGGAATGAATTATGACTGTTTTCATTCTAAGGATCATATTCATTCCATCTCTGTATTTGCTTTTTCTTATATTTGTCTCAGGGCTTTTATTTTAGGCAATATTTCTTTGTCAGCTACTACAGAGACGTTTTGGAATAATGTTTGTAGCTAGATCTTAAACCACTGGAAATCCTGTGCTCACAGTCCTCTGAATGTCTTTTGCCTCCTGTTATTACAGAGGTGTATTTTTTTCCATTTTTTTAATTGTTTCTTTCTATTTTGGACTTCATATCTGAGGATTTTAGATGTCTCTGTCCCATTGACATGTTACAAGAAGGTCCTGCCTCTCTGGAACCTATTGACTGCTGCTTCTTAAGCAGAAAGGAAGGATTTGGCAGCTAATTATGTACTGTGTCTGTAAAGGTGTCTGACTTCAGACAGGGTGTAAACAGTGGGCAAGGTTTGCTGTTCACAAGCTGTTGGGTGACACAAAGCATCATAAATCAAAGGTTAATCATTATAGCATTACAGTTATTCTTTCAGAACAGATAGTCTCATGCAAGACACGGGGGAACAGTTTTAAACTAAAAGAGAAGAGATTTAGATTAAATATTAGGAAGAA